TTTTCTTTATTCAATTTCCTAGGTATGATTTTTATACTAATTTTTCAATGATATTATGTCTAAACTCAAATATTATATTCAGAAAATACTGTATTTCTATTTATGTTTTTATGTCAATGTTATACATGTCGGTAGTATGTTTACATTGATCTAAAATTTTGCCAGTTTGATTTTAATTTATTTCCTATTTTTAACTATATGTGTTCGGTACGAAGTTCACTAACAAGTATCGGAATAGTTCACGTCATTGCCATAAATATACCAATACGATACAATTTTATTTAAGTAGGTAAGTAATTAATTTTTATATTTTCTCCATATCATTAGTTTCACCATATAACATTATATACAAAGTTTAAGATAAAACATATATATAAAACAAACACTTATACCATTTAAAAGCATTAAGATAAATTGTTGGAATATTAATTTATTTATGTAGGTACTGCTGTCAATCAACTTCTACTTTCGTAGATTCTTTCCAACCTTCAAGAAAAGAGTAAAAAGACAACGACAACCTTTGCGCCTCGAATTTTAAATATATACTAAGTAAGGATAATAACAGACAGCAATAGTAGTTTAGTTAAAAAGAAACTTTTATCTCTTATTGTAAATTGCTTTTTCCACACGAGATTTCTCAAACATTCATAATAATTTATCTGTAGGTCATAATTTAGTGATTTTTAGTAGGTAGCAATCTGATAGCGTAAAGAAAAATCGCAAAAGATAAGGTCATCGTTTTCGAGAAAAACGTAGTTAAAAGTGCAGGTAATTTCAATTCCAGTCCTGGTAGAGAAATACTGCTCTCAACGCTGCACTCAATTAGCTGATGATTAACAGCATTAGTGCAATATTTGTTTTTTAACTTTTTGCTTATGTATTGTTTATTTGGTAGATTAGGTTAATTATTTAATTAAATTAAAGTATGATACAGAGTGTTAACGCTGTTGTTACAGGTTTGAGCCATGTCGCTGCTATAGGACGAAATCCTCGCTTTCAAAGAAGACAATATTCAAAATAATGCTCATTTACCGACTAATATTTACATAACTGATTTATTCCTTCTTTTGTGTTTGTAAATTTACATAGTGCTGTCTGTAATGCACTTCCTTAATTTATTTAGTCTAAACAATATTTCTGGTACTAAATTGTTTATGCTTATCTTACACGTTTAATTATTGATAATGTTTACATTCTCAATCTATGTAGCTGCAGAGGTTTTATTGCCTACGCAACTCGGTAGACACCCGTGTTGTCAATGCAACGGTTTGTAAACTTATTGCGATATTCTTTTATTTCTTACCCTTAACAACGCTGCCGAACTCTTCGTAAGATTGTTTATTGCATCTAGGTCACTCCCTCCAAAACTCGGCAATTATTTTTAGATATTTTTACATAATTAACGCCACATAGTTTCGCAGAAAGGAAAGTGCTTTGGGTTATATTTACAACGTTTTTTATCTCCCAGTTTATCTATTTGTGTGGGCTAATCTTCGAACCGATTTTGATTTTTTTAAGTGTTCATTGGTGATAATAAAATTGTAATTCGCTATTTTTTCCCTTAATTCTAATATGAACAAAAGAATCAAGGTAAAAGGGGGTAATAATGTCTTTATTGGTTATAGATTCGACACCAGGGTTGGGAGGCCTACCTTGATAAAGCCTATAAATAAATAAATACATTATCACCCTCTTTTACCTTGATTCTTTTGTTCATAGTAATTGTACTTATTATAAAGAATTAGAACGTTCACGAAGTCGCGCAGTAAATAACACAAAAGAAATGTCGAATAAATAAATCATGTAAGATTATTCGTAAAGCAATTCTTCTAGTATATAATTTACTGCATTTCTAGGGTATTTCGAATGGAAGAACATCAAGAAAGCATCGAACCTTAAACCATTAATAAGTATGTAACGCTACTACGTAATAGTCTTACAAGCACATTGAATTACAAAGTGGAGTTAACCGCTCTTCTTTTTACAGAGACGTATTACATTCATACTACAATTGCATAATTGCATTAGTACTTGTATGACTCTTAAGATTCAACACCTTTTTTAATGCTGAAAGAAAAATGATGCCATTCGTTTCTTACGATTAAACACTTAAAAGTTTTACTTATTTCGGTGCTTTAAAATCCTTCATTTTTATTTCAATAACTTGCTATTACAATCAACAACAGCCAGGAGCTTTTCCGGGGTCGAAGCGAGTACATTTTGGAAGGGGAAGCTTTCACGGGATTGTTTTGACACCCTTCGATATATGAAGATGTAACCGCAAAGCCTAACAGGTTGTGGCCGGTTAGTAATGGGCACAATTTCTTTATAAAGGACTTAATCGTTTCTGAGATTAGGTCGGACAAAGAATACCATTCAGGAAGTTTACTTATTCATTGTGGGTATTAAACGATTTCACTAGATAAGGTATCTTTTGCCTATAAACCGTACCATCGAGCTTTAGATCATTGCTTAGGCTCCAGTTCGATTCCGGGTCTGTCTGCCCTGGACCAACATTTTCTGTGATTTCGTTGGATCACTTAGACAAATGCAAGAGAGTGGTCTCATTTTTCTCACTTCAACCACTCAACCACCCTTAATATGAGCCCCCAATTTAATAAATTAAAGTTTGCTTATTTTTATTGGTATTTATAAAATTCCTAGAAAGGATCTTAACTTCTTAACTATAAAATAAGCCTTAAAATTAACGATTAGATTAGTCTTTTTTAGGTTGTTATTGAGGAATTTCGGGATTTACAGTCTTATCTATTTAATTGGTAGTAATTGTTCTCGCAGTGAAATTTTTAATGTTTTTTCATTAGGTAAAGGGACAAACTATTCATTTTTTTCCTTAAATATGTTTATGGTATGTATAAAAGGATGCTGGAAAGTGTAGAACACACAAAATACGTCTATTTCCAACACCAAAACAAAACACTAAATATTAGTTACGTTCTTCAGGGATTGTGGAAAAAATTGATCTCCATCATCAGCTCCTGAAGAATTGTCACCGAACATGTTAGCGTTGGAACTGTTTAGGCATATATTCTGAAATTGGCTCACTATTAACCCTTTCATTAAAGGATGAAGCTCTGTTTACGGTCTACCCTCGATATTCAGAGTGTCGTCACTTAATTGAAATCAATTTTTTGACGTGTTAAAAGTATTTATATGTCAATATTTGGTCAAAGATAGTATGTGGTTATAGACGTCACCCATTAGGTTATGGTATGAAGGAACGAACTGGTTGAAGTGCTTTGCAGTACCATTTATTTGGAAGGGTGGTACTGAATGTCTACTAAGTTAAGGTAATAATAAAGGAATGAAATAAAAGCTAATTTGTAGTTCTTTAATTAGAGGTATAAATAGATTAATTAGTATAGGTAAGTATACATTATGTTATGTTTTTTTCAGATTCTTTATTCATTCAGCAACACATTGTAATTGCAAATAGGGACGTCTACATGTCTACACACCTGTTTTATTCTGTTACATATGTAATAAGTGAACTACTCTTGTTTTTAAACAAATCATGCAACATGCACGTTATTTGTATGTACCTATAAATTTATAATAAATATTAACAAGAAACATCTACATATAATGCAAACTTAAAAGTGGTTAGACGGCTCTCTTCGTTTTTCATTTGTAATAAATGCAATGCAGTTTTACCTTTCGAATTATTTCATGTTGTGATTTCTTTAATTTCATAAGTGTAACACACCCTTTGCATTTATACGTTGTTATGCAGATCAAATTCTAGGTATTTGTTTTAAATATATTTCTTACAATCACTTTCAAATATTACTGTATAGATGCTATGTTAAAATGTTAATGCAATTGGAATAGGTTTTATAAAAGAGCATCAAATTTCTTTTAGGTTAAAAAAACAGGATGAGGTGTGCCTTTGCCGAATAGTTTACGGAAAGACGCAATTATTTTGAGAAACGTAAACTTTTTTGAAATTATCTTCAAATGGAAAAAATTTGGTTGGTCTGCTATTACCAGAGGGGTTGGAGTGAGAGCAGCTCTAGTCTCGAGGCATTCAAATTTTAGAAATAATTTTTTTTATTGAAATCCCAAAGAAGGTCAAAATATGTTCAGTAAGTAGATATAAGAGACAGTTTGGATTTTGAAGTTGTACATAAATACTTGACTAAATCTGTACCTGCATAAAAATGTAGTTTACAATACGAGGGCGGTTCAATGAGTACCCGTGTTTGAAGACGGAGGACGTTCCTGAGGGAAATTGGTGTTGTCATCGTGTGCTGCCATATATCAAACCACGCCAAAACGAATTTCAGACTGATTGATAGGTTAGTTTGGATTTGGCAGCCATTCGACTGAGACGTGTTTCGTTATTTTCGCTAAGATGGAAAAATACCAGTATCGTTCGGTAACTCGCTTTTTGTTTTTGGATGGGAAAAATGCGAGGAGATGAAAACAAAGTTGGATGCTGTTTATGGAGACATTTCGCCATCTACGACCACAATTAGATATTGCTTCAACGAATTTAAACGTGGGCAAAGATCCGTTTTTGATAGGAGCGACCAGGAAGCTTGGCAAACGTTGTTACCGAGGAAATCATTTTACGGATTTTTTAGGAAAAGGAAGAACGATCACTAGACAATACTACAGTTAGTTATTGGACCGCTTCGACAAAAAATTGAACGAGACACGGACGCATTTGACGAAAAAGAAGGTGCGGCACATTCATCAGGAGTTGTTGCCGCCAAAATGCACGAATTACGTTATGAATTTGCTGCCGCACACCCCGTACTCACTCGATTTGACTCCCTGCGACTTCATCTTGTTCCGTACCATGAAGAAATGACTAGCAAGAAAGACATTTAGCGCAAACGAGGAAGTCATCGACGAGACAGGAGGGATTTTGGAGAGTTCGACAAATCTTATTTTTGGAGGGTTAAAAAAATGGCAGGGTCGTTGGGAGAAGTATATCTTTCTAAAAGGGGACTATGTTGAAAAATAAAAAACCAAATTTTATAAAAAAAACGTGTCTTCATTTCTAACACGGGTACTTATTGAACCGCCCTCGTACATCAATTTTGGAGCAGATTCGGGGGGGGGGGCTCATTTGGTCTGCCGGCCCGGACTTAGTCGGTCATTACATTACTTAAATATCTATTATAAGTAATAGAAAAAAGTAATACCGTATACATTTGAAAACGATTAAATAAAGGAAAAAACACAGTACGTTAACACTATAAAGGCCTATCTTAAATTTCACTCGTTTCAATTTTTCAAACAAAACAATTTACTGATTTTGTAAAAAACTTAATGAAGTCCAAATATGACAATTATTGATTTTTTCTTTACCAAACTCAATGATAGTTACCTTCAAATACACCTACAATTTACCTATAATAACATAACTTATGATAAGTTACTTATCAATAAGTAATTTACAATATTCATAATGAGATCTTTTTGTTCTTTTTGAAAATTACACATAAAGCCCTTCATAAATGGGGATCAGTTTCGCATAGAATTGAATGTACGTACTTTGAAACGTGCGGTTTATATGATAAGCCAGGACAACGGGCGTTGTTAGTCCTGACGTGGGCGATGATTCGGAGTCGAAACGACGTGAAGAGGCGCTTCTCCGGCGGGCGTCAAAGTCGTCAATCTCCTCGTCTAGGAATGTCGTCGTCGTCGTCATTAATGAAATATTCGTTGTGCCGTAAACGCCGCTGTTGCATGTGCAATATCGAAAGCTGAGCTTAATGGCAAAATAAAACGACCAAAATTAAATTCCTGCAGAATTAGCAACTAAGTCGCGCCATTTTTATTATAAAACTCGAGTGGCTGAGTACAGTGGTAGGTGGGAAGCGGTTGGAAGCGCGACGCGCTCTCTTGGTGCAAGACACTGCGTCGCATCCTGTCCTACACTATCCTGTCCTATCCTATCTTGCAATAAATAGAACGAACGTCGTAAACGGCTAATATAACCGTCTTGGTATTTGCCAAATTGCTACAGAAGTAGTTACCGAATACCTGCCATCAAAACTCGCTTCCCCGGGTTATTACCGCATAAAACACGGCTCTAAACTGCACTCCTCACATGCATTCCCCCACTGCCAAAGTCGTAAATGATATACCCTTTGCCCCGCACTGCCGATGCAATCCTGCACAAAACTTCACCTCACTTTGACTTTGCAAGACTGACAGTTGACTTCGGGTTCAATTACTTATCACAACCGCCGCCGCGTGCACTCTTTTTCACACGTATTAACAACACAGACAGCATACTTAGGCTTCGGGAAATTGAGTGGTTTGCCGAACACACGTAAAACGACGACGCAGCTCTACATATCTGCTACCTGTTGCTGTGTGCTCTCTCTTACTATTACTACACTTACTACCAACTGCATTCGAAACTAACTGCAATTTTGCCGCGTTCTTCTATTCATCATTGCCATTATCATCATCGCCGTCATCATCATCAACATCTTTGTTGCTGTTAGTTGTTATTGTTGTTGACAGTTGTTCTCGTCGACCGTGATACGAACACGTGCTCGTCAATTTTTTCTGTGCAGTGCTATCAGACAATTCAACCCCGCCGAACACGACCGATATTTCCCTCGTTGTCGATGTTACGTTACTAGGCGATTCGATTTGTGTGCGAAAAATGACTGACACTCCGGAATTCGAGCCCAAAATGGAAATAAACGCTTCCAGCACTTCGACAGCGTCGCCCAGAACACCTCCCAATTGCGCCCGGTGCCGGAACCATCGTCTCAAGATCGCCCTCAAAGGACATAAAAGGTATTGCAAATACCGCGCCTGTAAGTGTGAAAAATGTCGCTTGACCACCGAACGGCAAAGGGTTATGGCAATGCAGACCGCTCTCCGAAGGGCTCAAGCCCAAGACGAGGCTTTGATGAGATCCGGAAGTAATCCCCATCATATGTTGCCCGGTCCTGTCAAGAGTCCTTCTCCAGTACAAACTCACGATCGCAGCAGCTTGGATTGCGACTCGTCAGCTTCCTCACAGTGCTCCACAACCCCGGTTGTTATCGAGAAAATGAATTCTATTGATCCTGCTATTCCTACAACGACTACTGCTTCTATTGGATCTATGGGTAAGTTTTTCATACTTTTTTCTACCTATATTAGCAAATTTCCATGTCACGCCGTCATGGTTACTAAATATTTCGCGGTTTTAAGAAGTTTGGGAAGTTCCACATCTTCTTGAGTTAATTCTTCGGATTTTTTATCTGATAATTTTAAGATGGAAGTGGAATTCCGCTTGTTGTTTTCCCGAAAACATCTTCCAATGTATTGGAAAGTATCTGCATATGTATACGCATGTATTGCTGGATACTGTGCTGAATAATCGCACTCAAAATAAGTGCAACATCTGCTCTCTCTTATGCCAAGGTATTTTAATAGTTGGAAACTATTCTTAGCATTTTTGTCATTATCTTTATCTTAGAGGTAGTTTCAGTATTCTCGAAATTGTTAAATAATTCGCAGATTAGCACTTAGCACCTACTATAGTTTCAAAATAACGCTGCAATGCTGTATGGTTATCTTAATGTCTATAATTTGTTCTTGCAGTAAATGTAGGAAGAAGTGCAATAGTGTTGCAAAAAGTGTTATACACTAAATAACATGATGCAATTAAAAATGCTGTTAACTGCCGGCGAATGGTCATCTTTCTCTCTTTTTTTTTTTTATCACTACTTGCACCTTGCACGCAAGACGAAGAAAACGCAAAGCAATTTACACTTTGCGCTTAAATTGTGTCATTACATATTATTTACACAATTGTGTCACACGGGCACTGCCAACCGTTAATTGAGACGGGAGTGATAGTTTATAAAAGGAAAATAAAGGCACCTATTGTGCGACTTGTGAAAGATTAGTTGGATACAAAACGGAATTATGAATTACAATTGTACCTACTCTCAACTCCGATATTTATATATTATTATTGCACGGAGCTTTGGATGTAAACGTCTCAATCATCCTGTCTTGACACTCGCTCGGAAAACATTTCATCTGTAATCGCTTCCAACTTGTAGTAGTTTATTGTGTTACAACTGTATAGGTACATGAATTCACTTCACAATCTGTCGAAGTGCAACTTATCAACTTCCACGACAAAAAAAAATATTCAGCTACTTACAGACTATTAACTTGTATTAGTCGATGGCAATGAAATTGACTTAATCTCACAAAAGAACCAGAAAAAGTAATCGTAAATGTTTTTCTTAACTTTATAGTGTGGAATTCGTTTATTATGACTCCGCCTATATTGACCAAACGCTTAATATAAAGTTTGGATATATTGACTTCGTTTAAAATGATATATCGTTTATTATGACTGATTCTCAAGAAATCATATCCGGCTATAGAGACCCAAATGATTAATAATAACATTTTCGCTCATTTTTCCGACCCTTCTTTTGTATATTGATATTACAATTCATCCTTCTTTTTCTTTTTCTTTTAATAAATATATACAATTTGTAGTTTTTCTCTCTATTAAACTAAATAACTAACCAAAATAGAAAGTTGTTTATTTTCTAAGAGTATTCTTTATATGACGCCCGCTTAATATGATGTGTTTGTCATTTCCCTTCGATGTCATTATAAGCGGACTTTACTGTATGTACATACCTAAACTATAAAATTAGTGGACACAAAAATCAATTAGTATATGGGTATTTGTCTTTGCTAAATGGTTTGATTTGAAACAGATATCTTATTTTATTGTTTATTTAAATGGATTTGTAATATTATAGTGTACTGTTGCTGTTACATTGGAATTTTGTATGACTCGTTGTAACTGAATTATTATTATTAAATTTTTCTATTAAGTCTATTTATAAATGCTCCAAGTTGGCTTCTTAAGTTGGTATGAATTAACTAGGTATAATAGTTGTAACGTTATTCCTTTAAACAATTCTTGAAAAGATCAATCTGTACTCTACTACAAACAGGTAAAGTTTATTTGGTAGTTGGATGATTTTTGGGATTCCCATAAGTCGAATTTTCATAATTCTGTTTTTATCTGAAGACAACATTATGTTTCGTCACAGAGAACAGAGAAGTGTTGCGCGAGTTTTCTTGTTTTATAAAACTTTTCTAATTAAACGTCATATGAATTAAAAATAATACATATTCATATGGGAGAAACTTGGGTGGATTTTAGATGAACTTACTTAAGTGCTTGTCGGTTACATTATCACACATTTAAACGAACCAAAAACGCAAAACACTCCGTATTTTAAGAAGAATGAGGACAGGAAACAATCCCCGTACATAAAATATGAAAGTTATACTAAAAAGTTACAGCCAAATTGACTATTCAGTTTCAAAATGTTTTCAATCCAATACCGACTTTATTTCGGTCTTCATGATCGAACCATTTTAATCGAAATTCGTTTGGCCAAAATCGAGTTCGAAGACACAACACAAACGAAACAGACCTTTACAGTCTCATTACTGAACGACATGGACCGGTCATTTCGCAAGAATTGTTTGCATATTTCTTCATTCGAAAAATTCTTTGGCCAAGAAACAACAGTCGTGAGCCCCGACGAACACACGATTTAGTTAATATGTTTGCTGTAAATGGTCTGAAAGTCTACATACTACTTTGTAAAACACAGAACTGGTCTTTCGAACTTATTTTCGTATTCCCTTAAACGGTTTTTCTTTTCGTACGTGAAGATACGTTAAACCGTTAATGTATACTTGTTTTGCTTTTAATGCAAAAACAAAATTAAACAATACCTATTTATTAAATTGATGTATCGTAATTATTGTTTTCCAGTTTGCGCATCTTTTCGCATACTTTTATATAAAAATCTTAAAAATATCTTGATGTGATTGAACTAGAATTAAAATTGTTCCGCTCCATACAATGTAATGTTATACATTCAATTCAATTACAACAGTCGTTGTGGCACTGCTTTTTATAATCTTTTTATTAAAGTAGGCGTCACTATTGAAATGAAAAACCATAAACATACCTATAAAATATAAATGGAGACTACGCACTCAAATGTCAAATAGTCAAACAGTTTTTATAATAAATAAAACATAAAATAATCTATTTATTATCTATCTACATTTTACAGTTGCGATTTTTTGTTATCTTATTTTAATTGGGGAACTTATTATCTTACTCTACTCTCTGTAAGTGGGAGGATTCCTGACTGCGAAGCTTTTTTATAAAAACATAAGCAGATTATTGATTTTTAACCTTTTTGCTAATACTTAGCTTAATTTTAATTGTCTATGTACCGCTTAGATGAATACCTATATAATATTACTTTCTTCCTACCTACACCTAGACGTTAATTATAGTAAAGAATTATTCTGACCACACGTGGGTAGGTACCTGGGGTAACCGTCGTTTAAAACTGATCAATAATATTCAGCAACCCGAAATATTTTCTGACCGCGACGTGTTATGTTCCTTGTTCACCAAAACATGCAACACAAACACCAAAATTATTCTTTTACTAGCTAACGGCAACCCATTTCGTTGGGTTTACATTCTCATTCATTCTAAACGTGTTTGGTGGTCGTTTTGCAAACTCACACGCACACTACATTGGAGAAATCCTGAACGTTATGGAAGATTCCAGACATTTTTTGGGACACCAGTCGAAATATATAAAAATGCCCTAATTTAATGTCGGAACCCAACTTCACCACTCAACTTTTCAGAACGAGCTCAATTCATCTGGTCCAGTTCACCCTAGAAGATTCTAACCTGAAAACAACCCTAGACATTGGAGAACATTACCTCTTTCATGTTGGCATGGCAATGGCAAATTCACCAGGTACTGGATAATTAGTCATAAATGGCAAAAATTAGCCACTAGCAGGGAAATCCGAAAACCAGTTTGCATGCTAACTTCAAATGAAGATAGAGTATGCAAACGTTGTAAAATTGGTTAGGAAAATCTTAGACAGTCAAAACTGGTCTCATAATTACCCGCTAATTAACCTCTAAGAATGAAGACTTCTAACCAGAGGGTTGGATTTTTTTCAAAATAGGATCATTTTTCTATCTTGAGGGACCCGACAACTGCTAATTCGAGAAGGATTATACATAGTAGGCACTCACATAATCGGGTTTGAAATTTGTGAATATTTCGCAAATTAGACGTGGAAGCTAAAAATTAGCCGCGACCCGGGAAACTCGAATATTATATAATCTCCCTCACAAGATCGAGAAATTACGCTATTTTCAAGAAAAGTTCGAATCCTCTGGTTGATCAGCGGTGTATTAGTGGCCAAACATGAGTCCAGTTCGAAGTGTCCACGTTTTTCTTAACTGCCTTTACATTTTCTTTTGCTTACCCGATTTGATGTTAGTATGCAAACTAGTTTTGGGGTTCACAGCAAGTGTCAAGCCCAACTGAGAATGCCTACTACAAACTCACTCAAAGTAGCGGTTGCCGGGTCGGTAAGATGACAAAATGACTCTATTTGAAAAAAAAAATAGAACCCTCTGGTTAGAAGTCTACATCGCCAGCGGTTAACTAGTGGCTAATTATGAGTTCGGTTCTAGTTGTGCAGGATTCTCTAACAGAATTTACAATTTTTGTATAATAGCTTCAATTGAAATGAGCATTCAAACTGGCTTTTGGGTTTCCCGGCTCGTGGCAAATTTTATTTTATGATTTATATATTTGCCTGCTATTTTTGCCATGTCAACTTCAATGCAGTAAGAACAAAAACATTCAAAAACATTATATCTCATACATAACGGTTCTCGAACATTCTCAACGGTTCTAGTTATTTTAGCCAAGAACAGTCTTAGAGACATTCGAAGATTTTATAGTTCATAATAAAGCTAGAAATTCAGGTACTTTTGTAAATACCGGAATCTCGATTTTCACTTCTTCCACAGGCGTCCCATGACGGCAAATTTTGTTTTTTATTATTCTGCAGAGTGAATGAAGCAGATCCTAGTGGGCATTACAAATTAATAATCGCACGGTTATTTTAATTTTGAGATGTTTCTTTTTCCTCCCTGCCATAAATAAGCTTTACAACAAAAAGATTAAAAGGTATCACGAGGAATAAAAGTGCATCATTTCAATAAAGATTATCT